GGTGATTGCCCGTTGGGGCTTTTGTGAAGAAGGTGGAGCAAGTTTTGTTGGGACATGCCAAGGTGGAGATTTGTTAGTTTGGCAAGTCCCATAGTCCCACATCGGGAAAATCAGACTTGTTGTCTCGTCTTGGAACTATAAATAAGGGCCTGAGTTTTGATGTTAGACACACCACAAGAAGTACAGCAGGCATCACAAGAAAACCTGCTTATGGTTTGAAGTCTTCTTGTTTAGGAAGCTGAAGGTGTTTTATGGCCTAGGAACATTTCCTAAGGCATTTGTAAGTGTCCCTCTTTTATAGTAGTAATTTGCTCCTCTTTCTTCCGTGGATGTAGGTCAAAGTCAATTGACCGAACCACGTATATCTGGTGTTCTGGTGTTTTGTTTGTTCTTGTCGCTTTATTCTTTCCGCTTTATTTCTTTGTTGTGTTGCCAAAATTATCCTTTGGTAAATATCCTGGGGCTAGCTCTAACACTTCGGGCCATGAGTTCGGGCATTGGGCCAAGAAGAGCAGATATTACGTCAAGGAAATCAGAGTTGCGGAGGTTAACTGGCCGATTAGGCAACAGGCTACAAGAGAGGACGATGCGCCAAATAATTGGTCGAAGCGTCGATGAACCAATGACATGACGAACAACATTTGATTAGCTTAGTAATAATTATCTAGATCGAAGTAGGTTTTAACTGTACAAGATTAACTATGATAGCAAGGCATAAAGTAAAATGAAGTCTCGGAGTCAAGGACGCAATTTCGTTGGGAGTTCGAGAGTTTGTCGGAAGTCCGGACGTTCGTCGGAAGATCACCGGAAGCTCGCTGGAAGAAATCTAGACTTACAGACTTGTTTAGCTTAGTAAATGGCTTAAATTTCATAGCTAGCACATAATTGGGATTGGAATTGGGTCAACCCAATTATGGGCCAGTTGGGCCCATGTATGGACTGTGTTGGGCCTAATAAAAGGCCCAAACAATGACCCAACAAGTGACACCGTTGTGGCACAGTCTCCGAGACTATGTCAAGCGATGGTACCACTAGTTTGGGCGGTGGTACCGCCCAGTGTCAGTCTCTGAGAGACTGTTAGGTGGTGGTACCACCAGACTAGGCGGTGGTATCACCCAGTGTCAAGTTCAAGCGGTGGTACTGCCCGTACCCCGGAAACCCAAGATGAGATATTTTTAGGCTCCAAGTTTGAATCAACTTAAGGCCTATAAAAACCCCTCTCATCCTTGGTTAATAGATACAAGCACAGAGAGCTTAAAAGTGAGTAAACGCCATAGAAATCACTTGAGAGAATCTCTCTTATAATTCGAAGTTTAGAATTCTATTTATGGAGGTGTGTGTGCTTGTAAATGTTATCTCCTAAACCTGTGAAAAGGAGAAGAGAGGTGTAAAATGGTAGTTGGTCTTCGCCCATTGAAGGAAGACCGGTAGTGGATGCCGATGGCCTCGATGGAAGAGAAATCGGTGGAGTGGATGCAGGTCACGACGATTGAACTACTATAAAAATCTGGTTTGCATTTCTTTTGAGCAATTTACTTCAACTGCAAACTGCCTTCTTATCACTTGCTATACACTTCCGTATGCTTTCAATTTAAGTATCTTTACGAAATAGGTTTTATCGTACAAAATATTTTCAAACAAACGTGATTTTATCGCTGCACTAATTCACCCTCCCCTCTTTGTGCCGAGTCATTCCTAACAGTTGGTATCAGAGCATGGTTTTTCTCATTTGGTTTAACACCCAAGAGAAATGGCTCTTTTCGGCTTCAAGAGGGTCATTCTCTCATTCGTCCTCCCATGTTCAATGGGACATACTACACATATTAGAAAACTTGAATGAGAGTTTTCTTGCTTTCTTTGGATTTGGATTTGAATTTATGGAATATTGTCGAAAGCGGTTTTCAAAGGTCTTCTCTTCCAATGAACCATTAGAATGATTTGGAGAAGAAGAGTTTTTCTTTAAATGCTAGAGCTATGAATGCTCTATTTTGTACTTTAGATAAAAATGAATTCAATCGGGTTTCTACTTGTGAAATGACTTTCGATATATGACACACTCTCAAAATCACACAGAAGGTACTAGTAGAGTAAAAGATTATAAGATAAATCTTTTAATGCATGATTTTGAACTTTTTCAAATGAAGCAAGTGAAACCGTTATTGACATGTACACCCGTTTTATACATATCGTCAATGGTTTAAAAGCCTATAATGATAGATAGATCTTATTCTCAAAGAGATGAGGCTATATGCTTATATATGACTCCAAACCCTAGTCTTAAGGGATGCTTCCTAAGTAAGTTACCCCTTTTGTCCTCAACCCCAACCAACCAATCTAGTAAAATTGGGCGATGGCTAGGAAGTCCAAAGACCTAAATATAAATCTTAGCTACTCTTCTTTATAAAATAGATATGATTACGTAAGATTTATTATAATTTTATAGGGTTTTATTAGTTATTTTTTGGTTGAGTAGGACCAACCCTATTATGGTCCTATCAATTTTTAGTATATACGTCTACCGAAGGCACTGTCGCATATTATAAAATAATTAACGGGACCAATTTCATAGATCCATATGAATAGGGAGGAAATAATATGTGGACCCTTTTGGTTCCACGTCGTGTCCCAGTCCACCTGTGACGGCCGTAACCAACCAGGAAACAGGCATCGCCTCTACACGTCACAGTCGCTGCTGACCTCTGGGTCCCATTTTCGGACAAGTGGGAAGCGGTGTTTTCCCTGACTGGTGTCTATACTAAAACGCAGAAGGTTTGGTCCTGTGGTTCTTGGCGACGGAAGGGCTGCGTCATCTTGTCGACCGCCTGGCCCGCTTTCTTCTTTAAGCCGGCCCAGAACGCGGTCACGTTCAATCCAAATGGTCGCTTGTTGCGGAAGGTTTGGTCTTGTGGTTGGTTCTTGGCGACGAAATGGCTTCTACACCTATCGACCCACTTGTCCGCTCTCCTCTTTAATCCGGCTGAGAACGCGGCGAGGTTCAATCCAAATGGCCACTGGGTTCTGTCTCTTCTTCGTCTTATATTAATTGTTGTTTGGATGATGCCCGAGGCAACCCTCGTTCCTCAGCCGCGCTCCCCCTTCCCTCTCCCTCAGCGCCTCTTCCTTCGTTTCTTGGATCGAGATGGTCCGCTTCGGTGGATGGATCCGGTTCTTGATGTCGATCCTCCGAGTTCTCATGGAGCGGCCCGTCCCGAGCGAACTCGAGCTCGTTTTCTGATCCCAGGTGAGCCGAATCGCCGATCGGTTTCCTTCTGTTTTCTTGGAGGAGCTCTGGATTGAAGATCGTTCTGACTGCTCAAAAAGATGGGATTTTTACGCAGGTGAATGATGAGATGGTTCGATTTCGTGGATAGATTCGGTTCTTGCTCTCGTTCCTCCGATTTCTCATGGAGAGGCCCGGCCGGAGCAAAGTCCAGCTCCTCTTCTGATCCCAGCTACACTTCCAGATTTCTTCTTCCACGTTCCATTCTGGTGATTCTGGTGCGTGTGTTAATCTCCTCAAGACTCGACCTTTGGCACGTGATGATGAAGCCGAACACCACTGAGGATGAACGCAATGATCTTGACAAGAAAAAGGGCAGAGGGATGTCGAGGAGGCAGATTGGTGGATCTTTGCAGAGATCTCTGCAAACAGCAATCCTCCATGGCATCAGCAACAATTCTTGACTCTGCTCTTGACTTCCTTCTGAGATGTAGATACGCAGGGAAAGCTGTCCATGTTGCTAATAGCTTAGATGTCCTTTGTTTTCTTCCTTCTCCTTCTTTGGAAGATCACCTTCCTTTCGAAATGCTCTTTAGTGTCCTGGCTCGATCAATAGATTGTTCTTCAAAAAGAAGAAACGTTTTCTACTACAAATTAGTTCACAGATAAAAATGTGTGTTAATGCTTAGAATTCCAACTCTCACCCACCTCAGAAACAATTATGCAATGGATAGGGGAATCTGTCCAAAAGCTATGGCACAAAAACAATCTTGCTGAGTCTCAACAGTAACAGACAGTTTATGTTATTCCTGTTGTTTGGGGTTGAAACGGTCGCCTAATTCATATTTTAGGTATGAATTGATGTTTTAATTTTTACTTTTGTGAAATCACATTTGATCTGTATGTTATATTACAAATGCTTAAATAGTAATATTATCTCAGGGTAGTATATTTCTAAACCCTAACGTAAATTAGTATTTTAGTATTTCTAATAAAAATTTTTAAGTTTCTCAAATAACATATAACATTCTCTAAAATAGATTACCACTATACAATATAAATTCTAAATCTCATATGTTTTCTATAAAGTAAAATTTTATTTATTTTATTTTTAAATATTTATTTATATTTATTTAGAACATAAGGTTAACACGGTTGAATCTCGGATTTTGATGATGAAATCAATTGATAAGTTTGTGATCTAATATGCGTTTTGAATAACGTAGGAGTAGCTTCGATCATGAAGAGATAATTTGATTAAAGTAGGAAGAATCAATGTTGGGCCGAAATGGAACATGTCAAAAGATTGAACATCGAGCCGAAGGATCGGTCGATGTGTCGGTAGAAGGCTTTGTGTCATGAGTTCGGGTATCGGCCTAAGAAGATCGGACATTGCGCTAAGGAGATCGGATGTTGCGAGAAGACAACATGTCGATTGGGCAATATGCTGAAGGAGAGGATGATGCGCCGAAGGGCCGGACGAAGCGCCGGATAAACCAATAACATATCGGACAACATGTGATTAATGTTTTGTAATAATTTGTCTAGATCAAGTTAGTTTAGGTCTAATTTAAGTCAGTATTGGGGTGAAATAATGTCAACTCAATTAGGGGCCAATTGTACCTAAATCAAGACTGAATTGGACCTATTGTTTGACCCATTTAGTGTCCTATAGCAGGGTCTGGTGGTGGTACCACCCAAACACAATCTTTAAGATTGTGTCAGGCAATGGTACCGCTAGATTAGGCGGTGGTATCGCCCAATGTCAGTATGTCAGGTGGTGGTATTGTCAGACTGGGTGGTGGTATCGTCCAGTGTCAGACTGATAGGCAGTGGTATCGCTAATAACCTTGGCGAATCATTCGCATACTCGCAAGCTCAGTCTTCCATCCAAGCTGATGGTAACCAAACAAGAGGAAAGTACTATCACTTATTATCTATAAAATATCAAAGTTATCATCAATGACTTGGCTTTGATAGGTCATTCCCTATGTGATAAGGAGATCATCATCCATACCATAAATGGTCTTGGGGATGACTACAAGGAATTGGCGGCTGCAATTCGGGCACCTAACTCGCCAATCTCCTTTGAAGAACTCTATGACAAGTTGATTGACTATGAGATGTATTTGAAGCGTGCGGACAAGCTGCCTGGACTGTCTATCACAACTCAAGTCAGTTACAAGTCTAAAAGGAAGAACACTCGGTACCCTCCGAACATCACCAAAGTTATTCTTGATCCTATGGATCCCATGCAATACCCCCCTTATCCTCCTAACTTCTCGCAAATTAGCAACTCTAATAATCGTCCGTCTTAGCATCATGCTCCACCAAGCCAATAAATACGGGTCGTCTACCAACTATGTGATAAATTCGGATACTCAGCTAAAGTTTGTCGGTCTCGACCCCGCCTCCCGGCTCCGTCACACTGGCCTCAAACAAATCTTCTAACTACTCCGACGACTAGTCAGCCCAATTGGATTATCGACTCTAGCGCCTCCCATCACATCACCGCTGATATTCAGAATTTGTCTCTTTACAATACCTATGGCGGCGATGAAGATATCATCATCGATGACGGTAAAGGACTTCCTATAACTCATACTGGTTCCACAATGCTTACTTCTGATAATACCATATTTACACTCGATAATGTTTTATGCGCCCCTCATATTAAACGCAATCTCATTTTTGTTTCTCAATTTTGTAAACATAACAATACTTCAATTGAATTCTTTCCTGATTCCTTTCTTGTTAAGGACTTGAGCACGAGGGCATCCTTAATCTAGGGCCCGAATAGAGGCAACATTTATGAATGACTATCAACTCCACAAATAACCCAGCCCACTATTCATTCTTCCGTTGTGGCTCTAGTTGATGTGTGGCATCGTCCTCTTGGTCATCCCTCGTTTTTTATTTAGCAAATATTACTTTCTTGTCACTCTCTTCCTATTTTAAATCATATAGTCCTATAATACATTATGATGCATGTCTTAGTAATAAAAGTCATTGACAGTCCTTTAGCTCATCTTCCATTTCCTCCTCTAAACCATTTGAAATTATTTATACATATGTTTGGGCCCTGCTCTAATCCTATCTTTTGATAAATTCAGATTTTATATCAATTTTGTAGATCATTTCACTAAGTACACATGGATATCCTCTTCACCATAAATCTGACGTATCCACCATCTTTCCCATCTTTCGAAAATTGGTCGAAAACCACTTTCAGTCTATAATCAAAACGGTTTACTCTGATAGTGGCGGTGAATATCAAGCCCTAGCATCTTATCTCTCCACTTATGGTATTCAACACCTCAAGTCTCTCCCACATACTCCTCAAATTGTTGGCTCCACCGAACGCAAACATTAGCATATAGTAGAAATTAGGCTAACACTTCTACATCAGGCCTCCGTGCCTTTCAGCTTTTAGACAGCAGCCTTTCAAACTGCTATCTACCTTATTAATAGGATGCCTACATCAGTCCTACATTACCAATCCCCCTTTGATACACTATTTCATAAACCCCCAAACCTTCGTAAACTCAAAATATTCAGTTGTCTATGTTATCCATTGTTATATCCCTATGCCTCTCATAAGTTAATATCACGATCTAATCCTTGGGTCTTTATAGGTTACTCTCTTGAACATAATGCTTTCTGTTGTTATAATCTCCACACTCACAAAGTATTTATATCACGTCATGTTATTTTTATTGAGTTAGTCTTTCCTTTCCAAAACCATACGTTTCCTACCATGCGGACCATTTTATTAACCATTCCTCACTGGAATATACCTCCGATCCAACCGGACGAGCCTCCCATGATATCGTCCCGTTCCTCCCCAATTAGTTATATTGATAGGGGGAGTTTATTTAAACTCCGGGAGTTAAGGTTAACTCCGTCATCAATTAGTTATCATCATCAAAAATGGGGAGATTGTTGAATCTCAAATTTTGATAATGAAACTAATTGATAGTGTTTATGATTTGATCTGCGTTTTGAGTGACGTAGGAAGCTTCGATCAGGGAGAGATAATTAAAGCAGGAAGAATTATGCTAGGCCGAAAAAAACATGTCAGAAGATTGGACGTCGAGCCAAAGGATCGGTCGACGTATCGATAAAAGGCTTCAGGCCATGGGTTCGGGCATTGAGCCAAGAAGAGTGAAAATTACGCCAAGGAAATCGGAGTTGCGAGGTCAACTGACCGATTAGGCAATAAGCCGCAAGAGAGGACGATGCGTTGAATAATTAGATGAAGCATCGATAAACCAATGACATGCTGGATAATATTTGATTAGCTTTGTAATAATTATTTAGATCAAAGTGGGTTTTAAGTGTGCAGAATTAACTATGATAGCAAGGCATAAAGCAAAATGAAGTCTTGGAGTCAAGAACAAGATTTCGTTGGGAATTCGAGAGTTCGTCGGATGTTTGGACGTTCGTCGAAAGTTCTATCAGAATTGACCGATAAGTTTAGGATCTTGCTAGAGAAGCTCATTGGAACTCGCCAAGAATATCGTCGTGAAGTCTAGGAGCTTATCGAGAGTCCGTCGAAACATTGCCGAGAGATCATCGGAAGTTCACCGAAAGATTGCTGGAAGCTCGTCAGAAGAAACCTAGACATACGGACTTATTTAGCTTAGTAAATGTTTTAAAATTCACAGTTAGCACATACTTGGGTTGGAATTGGGCCAACTCAATTAGGGGCCAATTGGGCTAAGTTTGGGCTATGTTGGGCTATGTGAAAAGGCCCAAAAGTGACCCAACAGGTGGAACCGACGTGGCACAATCTCCGAGACTATGTCAAGCGGTGGTACCACCCAGACTCAGTCTCCCAGACTATCAGACGGTGGTACCGCCAATCTGGGCAGTGGTATCGCCCAATGTCAGGCTGCAGGCAATGGTACCACCTAGTGCAGGCGGTGGTACCACCTATATCCTGAAATTTCGGGGATTTGAATTTTGGCTCCAAATTTTGAAGTCATTTGAGGTCTATAAATACCCCAGCTATTCCTGCATAGAGTAGCAAAAAAGGTGATAAAAAACTTCATGTTTCTATAATTGAAAACCCTTGTAAAGTATAGAGTCCCTCCTCTTAAAGTTTAGAAATCATTCTAAGGGAGAGTGTGAGTGAAGCTTTGTAAAAAGGGGGTATAAAGGTTCTCTCATGAACTTGTTAAAAAGAGAATCGAGTTATAAGGGTAGTTGATCTTCGCCCATTGAAGGAAAATTGTTAGTGGATGCCGATGGCCTCGATAGAAGAGGAATCGGCAGAATAGATGTAGGTCACGACGACCGAACCACTATAAAAATTTGGTTTGCATTTATTTATTACTATTTACCTTTATTGTAAATGGAATTCTTACCTTCATTACACTTCCGCATGCTTTTAAGTTAAGCATTTCCGAGATCAGATTTTATCATTTTTATCTACTATACTAATTCACCCTTCCCCCATCTTAGTGCCGACTCATTCCTAACATACATCATAATTTATTAAAAATATAAACAATAAGAAGAAAAATAAAAAATAATACAGTTTAAATGCTCAAAAGTCCATAAAAATATTTTAAAAACACTAAAATAAAAAACCA